TCCTTGTCCTGGATCTTGGCCTTGACATTGTCGATGGTATCCGAGGACTCGACCTCGAGGGTGATGGTCTTGCCAGTGAGAGTCTTGACAAAGATCTGCATGGCGGATGGCTGAGTCGCGGCTTCGAGGTGAGGATGTGGAGAGGCCCGGACGTGAGAGTGTTGGGAGATATGAGCGCTGCGGCTAGATAGGTTGCGTGGATGTGCGTGCGAACGGACGACTGCGTTCGCAAAAGACGCGGATAGGGTCAAGCTTGGTGTGGGTGAACGGATGTGGATGATGGTGACGGGGAGAGCGGTGAGGGTGGCGGGGTCTTATACGAGGAGGGTGGGATTTGAGTGACTCAGGTCGGGCGAGCTTGCACCGGCTGCAAGCGGCTGGGGCGTGGCGTGCGGGAGTGGATGCGGGAGAGCGAGCGGGAGGCAGTGTGTGTGTGCTTTGCATTTGCGTTATCTGCCGACTCACGCAAGCGGCCATCCGGGCTAAGCTAGGCTGAGCCTGAATTTCGGGCCCAAAAAGACGGGGGGCCAAGGCTGGGCGTGACGCAGCCGCAAGAGTGACCGGCAGCACAGCACACTCTTCAGCAATGCGCCTTGCGTTATCGCCCTTAAATCACTGTATTTCGAATTTGGATTTTCACCGCTGGCGGGTCCGCTGTGCGTCGACGGCGGCGTGCGGCGTTGGTGATTGCGATTCGAAATGAGGGATTTGCAGACGTGTGTGTTTTTGGCGGCCGGTGTGGCGAACCCTCCACACGCAGCAGCACACTCGCGCAGTTTCATGCAGGCGACTACTCTAATTTCACCCTCTCCTTAGTGCGTCTCGAACCAGCTGTGGGCTGAACTCAGACTGTCTCGTCTCTGTCTTTGGCTGGCAAAACCTCGACCCCCCTTTTTCGCTCGACCTCCACAGCCCTCTTTGTGCTTCTGCGCCTTTCGGCTGCAATTGCGACGTGGCGCGCCGCCTACTGTCGTTGGTCGGGGATGACGCGTCCCCCCTCCCCCCTTTGAGTCGAGAGAAAGGTGATCGAAAAAGAGGCCACATGGCAACGTCGCCTAGCACAGCCCCTCTGACAGCCTGTCTCGCGCGTTCCTCTTTCGCCGCTTTCCCTTGACTCAAACCCTGGAACACCCAGCAGCGGGGGCGTCCGGAATCAAGTGTTTCGCCTGAACCCGTCACCGGGCAACTCGGGACCCATCTTCAGTCCCGCCTCCGGACCATCCCTCCTTGCACTGCATAGCTAGCAACATCTTGTGTCAGTCGAAAGAGGAGTGGTTCGCGGCGATGCGGTGTGAGGAGACGGACGAAAACGGCGGGTCCAGCCTGGCTGCTTGGCGGCGATGGAGCGCCGTGTGGAGGCGCCGCTCCGAATTGAAAGCCCATCCGCACCTCGGATCGCAGCACGTCGTGTATGTCATCGAGCATCGGAGCATGGACTGCTTCGCACGCTCGCCAGCTGTCTACCCCGCATCGTACCGAGTCATGCTGAGCACCAGTCGCAAGAACTGATCCGCACTTCGTGAGCAATCGAGCCAATAGTCAGGAACAGACCGATGCAGCCCTCCTCCTGCGCCGCCCACGCGTCTCACGTTGCGCCCAAAGTCCGACCTGTCACATCACATTCGAGTCTCGCTCGCCAGCGCACGTCATAAAAAATCACCTGGTCATTCACAAACCCGGCGTCGCAGGCACGTCTACAGGGTCTGGTATCTACGGTCGTGATCGTATCAACTATATGTATGTGTATGAGCAAAGAACGCAAAGCAAACTGCATCTAGGCCACGCGACTCGCCAGTCGGCGGATGGCAGGCACCGTGATGTACGCAGGGCAGTAGGTCTCGATGCCCGTCACCTCGCGCGGCAGCGGCAGCTCGTACGGCCCCGCCTCGTCCACCTCGGGCGGCAGCAGCAGATGGTCGTTGCGGTCGTTGGGCACCACGCGCGACGCCACCGCCTTGAGGATCTCGGGCGAGATCGGATTCTCGTAGTCGGCCACGTAGTAGTGCGAGATGAGCTTCTGGATCTGCGTCGGCGTCAGCATCCAGCACACGTCGTAGATAATGTCGATGTCGCCCAGCGTCGCCTTCTTGAGCTGCAGCAGCTTGGTCGCCTGCATGAGGTGCTCCAGCTGCAGCGTCCCCTCGGGCATGTCGTGCGACTTGCACCACTCTTCGATGCGCGTAATGTTGTACTGGATCTGCATCGCACGCTTCCACGAGCAAAAGTTGCGGCGCATCAGCAGATCGTTGAAGCTCGTCACGCCGATCAGCTTCAGCAGCTCCGTCACCACCTGCTGCGTCACCGACGGTTCCACGTAGTAGCTCTTGAGGCTCTTCCACACCTTGTTGAGGATGCCCAGGATGTCGTCCATGGTGTGCGTCGGCGTCGAGTTGTTCGACAGCAACCTGTTGAACAGACGGCCCGAGTGGTCGCTCGTCACAAAGCCGGGCAACGACTGGCTCTCCACGAGCGCAGGGATCACCATCTTGTGCAGTCGCTTCTTGGCCTCCTGCATCCAGGTGTGGTAGATGTTGTACTCGAGCGAATCCAGGTCGTGCTTGACGATCGTCACCAGACGCTCGTAGTCGCCCCACTCGAACGAGCGCGCCGCCCCGTCCACGCCCGGTCCGATGCCCTGCAGCATGTCGCTCTCGGCGATGCACACAAACGACAGGATTTCGTGCACGTTGGACAGCCAAAAGATGCCCGGGATGATCGCCTCCTCGCCCTGGAACGACATGACGTGCTGCTGGATCGTCTGCATCACGTTGGCCAGGAAGCGCTCCGATTCGCGCACCAGGCCGTATTTCCACATCTCGTTGGTCACCAGCGAGATGAGGTGCGCTGGGAACAGCACCTCCTTGGGCGAAGGCGGGTTCTGCAGGCTCGGAGCCGGCACCTTGAGGAATCGGATGAGTCCGTTGAGCACGTCCTCGTCCAGCTGCTCCTCATTCTCCAGGATGCGGATGATCTCCTCGGACGGGTCGTCCTCGTCGTACTCTTCGTCGTAGCCGTTGCGCTGGCCGCCAAGTCCGGGGATCTGGTGTCCGTCCAGGCCAAAGGCGACCGAGACGTGGCGGTTGGCGGTCGCGGCGCTGCGCTTGGCGGCCATCATGGCCTCTTCGTGCTCGTCGCGGCTGAGGGGCTGGTCGCTCCACGGCCCCGCCTCGCTGTGGCGGCGCGGTCGGCGCTTGGGCCCGCTGTTGGCGTAGCCGTTCTCCTTGCCCGTCGCCATGTTGAAGACCGGCGGCGCTGCATTCTCGATGCGCTGCGAGTTCTTCTGCAGCGTGTTGAGCGCGTTGGCGCGGTTGAGCTGCTCGCGGAGCGAGGCCACCTCGGATCGCAGCGAGTTGATCGTGGCGACGTCGTCCTCGGACGACTTGGTGGCGCCGTTGAGCGCGTCGGAGCGAGCCTGCAGCTCGTCGGCCTGACGCTCGATCTCGGCCGTGAGGTCGGCGATGCGCTTGTCCTGCTCGGCGATGCGCTTGAGCGACGCCTCCTGCTTGGCGTCGAGCTCGCGCTTGGCAGCCACGAGCGCCTCGAACTCGGCCAGGGCCACGGTGGGCTTGGCGAGCTCCTCGGAGAGGCCACGGTTGCGACCCTCGATCTCGTCGTGCTTGCCCTGCCACGTGAGGATCTGCTCCTCGAGCGCCTTGATCTTGCCCGAGAGCTCCTTGTTGTCCTTGATGCGCTTCTGCAGGTTCTGGGTGAGCTCGACCACCTTGTTCTCGAGCTTGTACGAGACCTCCTTAAAGTGCGACACGGACTTGGCCTCGTTTCGGCGCGCGACGAGCTCCTTCTTGGCAAGACGACGACGGTAGCACGACTGCAGGTGGACGATGCCCTGTCGCTCCTTGCGGTACTGCCTGCGGGCCATGGCACCTCGCAGCAGCGCCTGGAGACGCGTTGCCGAGAACTCGACCTTGGCAGTCTTGTACTTGGATCGCACCGCACGGCCACGGGCGACGCTCTGGATCTTGATGACGGCATCGCGCGTGGTGAGGTACTTCTTGCGAGCCAGGAAGCCTCGTGCGACAGTCTGGATCTTGGTGGCAGCGGTGGTCTGACGCAGATCGTCGACGTACTTGATGGCCAGGCGCATACGCCACCAGGACTGAATCTTGACGGCGTTGACGCGCATCGCCTGGTACTTCTTCTGCTGGACGTGGCGCCTGAGGTTCTTCTGGATGACGGTGGTGACGGCATTGAGGCGGTCGGTCCTCCTCTGCTCGAACTGGGCGAGCATGCCGGCACGGAAAAAGATCTTGGTGAGACCGACCTGGTATTTGTCCTTCTCGGTGATGGTGGATGTGAGGATGTGCGTTGCGAGCGCCTTGACCTTGTCCATGTCGGACATGTTCCATCGATCCGAAGACACGAGCATGTAGTATCGCTCGGCAAAGTCGGCAAACGTCCATCGCGACGGGTAGCCTGCACAGCTGATGCGGATGGTCTCGAGCACACCGCAGGCCCGCAGCTGACCGAGCACGTTTTGCGGCTCGACCTCCCACGCCTTTTTGGCCTCGTTGGGCTTGATGCAGCGGATGTAGTGGACGTTGGTGCTGTCGATCGTCGCCATGAGGCTGACGAGAGAGCTCTTGAACTGCGAGCCGAGGGTGGGCTTCTTGATGCTCGCGCCGGGCAGCTTCTTGGGCGCCGGCTTGGCCGGGGCGGCGCCTGCTGCGGCGTCGGCGGGCTCGTCGGGCTTGTGCAGGTTGAGGGCGGTGTCGAGGACCTCCTTGAGGAAGGGGTTGGTGGTGCTGTTGAGCAGGTTGAGGTGCTCGTCTGGCACCGTGTCCTTGTTCTTCTCGACAAAGCCGGCGCTGGAGTACTCGACGTCGAGCGCGTAGTGGCAGACGGTGAAGCTGGTCTGGCCGAAGCGCGGCTTCTTGAAGGCGTTCTTGAACTCGGGTCGCTTGTCCATCTGCGTGTAGAGCTTCTGGACGAAGGACTCGTCGGAGCCGGAAGGCAGCCTGGACTCCTCGTCGAGGAGCGAGAGGATGCCGAGCTTGCCCTCGATCATGTCGATGCAGGGCTGGTTGTCGGAGAAGTCGATAAAGGTCCACGAGATCTGCTCCTGGAGGTACTCTTCCTGCTCGAGCTTGAAGACGTGGTGGTTGAACTCGTGCTGGAGGCGCTCGTTGGCGTAGTTGATGCAGAACTGCTCGTACGAGTTGACCTTGAATCGCTCGAATCCGTAGATATCGAGGACGCCGATCATGGACTCGCGCGTCTTGGACGAGCCGAGGGCGAGCGAACGGTTCATCTGGTCGACGAGCCAGTCGAAGAGGCAGGTGTAGATGTACTTGGACACCGAGTCACGCACGACGATGGCCTGGGCCTGGGTGAGGTTGGTGATGACCTTTTCGCCCCTCGTCTGAAGCTGACGCTTTACGGTCCACTTGCGGAACTCGGAAGAGTCGATGCCGAGCATGCGCGTGGCCATGAAGAGGCTGGGCTCGTCGTCGGCGAGCACGGCGTCGGTGCGTGCGGCTGTGATCTGGACGTTTCCGAGGTGCAAGAGGGCGGCGAGGAGGCGGAAGATGTTCCACTGACGCTCGATGGTGAGGCCGACGACGCTGAGAGCCTTTTGGGTTGCCTTGAATTCTTCTGCGTCGTTGACGCCGTTGATGATGTGGCTGCCGGCGCCGCCCTGGTTGAGGTAGAAGAACTTGGAGGCGTCGTCGAGGCCGAGGTCCTTCTTCTCGGACGAGGGCGCGCCTGCGCAGAGCTGGTAAAAGATGTGGTAGTTTCGCTCCGTTTCCGGCTGGTAAACAAGACGCGAGCGCTCGAGGAGGTAGGTGCGCATCTTTGCACCAACGATCTCGTGGCTCTTGTCGAAAAGAATCTCGAGGTACTTTCCGAATCGGGACGAGTTGTCGTTGCGGGTGGTTTTTGCGTTACCAAAGGCCTCCATGATGGGGTTCGTGGCGAGGATCTGCTGCTCTGTCTCGCTCATGCCGCTGGTGTCCTTGCCGCCTGCGCCTGCCTTGCGGCTGCCGGGCTTGTCGGGATCCTCGACGGTGGCAAAGTATCGCATGATGTACTTTGCCGACACGGTCTTACCGGCACCGGACTCACCGCTGACGACGATGGTCTGGTCCTTCTCGTCGCGGATCATGCAGCGGTAGGCATCTTCTGCGATGGCAAAGAGATGTGGCTCGAGCTCGCCCTTGCGTCTTCCGGAGTAGGCCTGGATGATCTCGGGGCTGTAGAGGCTGAGGCCGTAGAAAGGGTTGACGGCGATGAGGACGATGCCGGAGTAGGTGTAGATGATGCGCTGGGAGTATCTGTTGAGGATGGTGTGAAGGACGGAGGGCTCGTTGAGGTAACTGAGGTTGGTGAGGTCGTCGGTGGCCTCTAGGAGCGGTGGGTTGCGCAGCGGTGGCAGCTCATCCTCTCCGTCCTTTGCGGCGAGCTTGGCCTGGGTGGTGGTGACGGTCTTGGTGGCGCCGGTGTCATCGAGGGTGAATTCGAGCACGACATCGCCCGAGCCAGCTGTGGACACGGGCTTGGCGAGCGTGGCGCTGATCCAACCGAGCTCCTTGTCAGGGAACCAGGCTTTGGTGCCGGGCACAAAGGCCGCGAGGAGGTCGGCGGCTGCAGGAGCCATGATGGCGGTATAGTCCGAGCTAAGGGAGCTGCGGCTGAACGTGTGTGTGTGTCACGCGAAAGTCGTGAGCCGTTCCGACGTAGCGCACACGGATGCAGGCACGGGCGCCCGGTACGGATCGACAAGCAAGGACCACCTGGGCAGCTTGCTGAGGGAAGGCGAAGAAGGGACGAGCCGACGCCGTGTATTCTTGAGAAGCCGAAAGAAGGGTTGGAGAAGCCTGCTCTCGGGAAAAGGGGAGTGGTCGGGGGACGCGAAGGGAGGAGCAACTGCTAGCGTTGCAACCGAGCCTTATGGGGCGATATACCCAACACAGAGACCCAACCCGAACGACGAAACGGAAAAAGGAGGGAGGAGGAGAACGGAAGGAAGGGCTGCAACAGGAGGTGGTGGTGATGGGACAACAATGAAGAGGCACAAGGTCGAAGCGATGCAGGCAGGAGAGGGCACTCTGGCGAGGAGGAAGAAAGCGCGAGCAGCAGGGGAGAAAGTGCGTTGCTCCTTGCTGCCACCGGGTGGTCTTCTGCAGCTCGAGTGAAGTGCAGCGCCACTCTCCTGAAGTGCTGTCTGTCCGTTGTTCTAGCAGCACGCTCGGCGAGCCGAAGCCTGTGTGCGTCTCTCTCTCTCT